TTAAAAATTCCGTTTTGACAGACACAGAGAATGCAAAGGCAAGCCACAAGCTGGGAGAAAATATTCATAATACATCTGAGAAAAGACTCATATCAAGACTAGATAAAGAACTCTTACAACTGAACAAGACAAACAATCCAATAGAAAAAAGGCAAGAGATATATTTGAACAGACACGTCAAAAACCAATGGCCAATAAGCACATGAACTGATATTCAACATTATTTTCATCAGGGAAAGGTAAATTAAAAGCACAATGAGATACCAATTCATACCCACTTGAATGGCTAAAATTAACGACTGACAAATACAAGATGCCTGGATGTGGAACAACTGGAAGTCTCATACACCGCTGATGGGAGTACAAAATAGTACAGCCGCTTTGCACTGGTGTTTTCTTAAACATAGACTTCACAATACAGCAACTCCAATCCTAGATATTTATGCAAAGAAACCCTGAAAACATGTCCTTTAAAATTAATGTTCGTAGCAGCTTTAAGTATATAACATGAACTGGGAACAACTGAAAATGTCCATCAACAAGTGAATGGATAAACAAATTGTGAATTATTTGCAACATGGAATACAACTCAACAGTAGGAAGAAATTGCTATTACACATGCAACACCATGAATATTCATTATATGAAATTATAGAGTAGGCATAGCTTATCTTTAGTGATAGGAAACTAGATCTTTGTTTGCTTGAGGCTGGGTTTGGGGGAATATTGACTCAAAGGGGCACAAGGAAACTGGTGATAAAATTTTCTTATATTTAATTGGAGTAGTTACACAAATGTATACACTTGTCAGAAGTTACTGGACTGTACATTTAAAATAGGTGCATTTTATTGCAGGTAAATTCGCCTTCAAAGTTCATTTTTAATAGTTAAAAAACAAACAAACCACTGATCTGAAAAATAAATCAGCTAAACTTTTATAGAAAGTAATTTTAGTAAGTGCTTCACTTTTGCTGGGTGCTAATGAAAATGTAGTTAAAATAATGTGTTAAGATGTTTAGTAGAAAGAACTATAGCTGTGCTTTTTTTTTTTCTCTTTTTAGATTTTTATTGGGGCATTCGGGGATGGGAACAGCGCTGGGGAATTGGGGGAAGGGGAACAGACAAGTTGCTGTCCTTTTGTTCTTTAGTCTAGTTGTGGAGGACGTGGCTTCACTGGCC